TCTTTCTTGTCAAGGTTTACAAACTTCCCTGACACAAGGCAATAGTCTTGCCAGTAAACCCCAAGCACTCCAGATAGAGGGTGAAGAGACGGCACAGTGGTTAGGAGTGCTTACTGCTCTTGCAGAGGACCTGAGTTCGGTTCCCAGCACCCAAGTTACAACCTCCCGAAACTCCAAGGGATCTAACACCCACTTCTGGTCTTTGTGGGCACTACATTCTCTTATTCTCTCTCTCTCTCTCTCTCTCTCTCTCTCTCTCTCTCTCTCTCTCTCTCTCTCTCTATCTATCTATCTCTCTATCTCTATCTCTATCTCTATCTCTCTCTCCCCTCCCCCTCCCTCCCTCTCCAGATTTTCTTCTTGTTAGTTCAAAGAGGGGTAGAGATGGAGAACACTATCTAGTTCTAAAATAGTCACCAATGAAGACTGAGGTGCCAACCTCGAGGTTACTGTCTGTTTATGGTTTCAAGATACTGCATGGCTGCATTTCTGACACCCAGGCTGGATGACAAGGGCATTGCCATGTCCCACATGAGCAACGTCCTACAGAGACCTCCCGAAAACAACATGTGTGTCAAGCAGAGATGGAGCATTTAACCTGCAGTGTCCAGGAAGCCTTGAGAGAATCTTAGTAATGTTTCAAATGGGAAGAGAGGCAATATAAGGTATTGCACATGTCTGGTGTCTGGAATCCATTTGGTAAAGGAAGAGCTGTTAAGGTTAGGACTGGTTAAATCTGCAATAATTTCTAGCTCCATAGCTTGGCACAAAGCCAGGCATGCTGGTAGATGCCTACAACCCCAGCACTGTGGAGACTGAGGCAGGAGGATCAGAAGTTCAAGGGCATCAGCTACATAGGGAGCCCCAGGTCAGTCTGGCAACGGGAGCTCTCATTTTCAAGTCATTCAAAAGAGGTGGATACAACCAGGTCAGTGACTTGTTTACTAAACCATTGACTGATAAGTGGGCTGTTAATTCAGGTGAGCAAATTAATTGCCCGGATAAAGGGATTTGTAAAGTGTTCTGACACAATCAGTAGCTAATTATTGACCACACAGTGTTGTTTTTCAGAGTGAGCAATTCCTAGGAAAACATTCCCATCATTGATATAGGGGCTTCTGTTATCACCAGGAATAAATTCTCATTCTAAGACCAGCTGGCTAAGAGGTCCTGGGCAAGCCATAGACCCTTTCTGAGACTATTTCCTTCATAAATAAATTGTGATTATAGGAGTGTTTAGTTCATAATGCAATTCTGAGGATTAAATGATATTATCTGTATAAAACACCCTGTGGAGTTTCTGACAAAACAGAATTCAATAAATGATAGTTACACTGATAGTACTCCAGTATCATAGGGAGACCTGAGACTATTCCAAATGCAGGAAGCTATTGATTTCTGCATGTTGATTTTGTGTCTTGCTACTGTGCTGGAAGTATTTGTCAATTCTCACAGTGAAAGCAGGAGTCAGCAATCAAACTCACACTCTTGTTAAGGCATAAGCCCCTAGTCAAAGGGGAAAAATACATGGAATCTCTCTAGAATCAATAGAGAAATTATTTTTTAATGGTTTGAATAAAATAAACCCTTCCCTGTCATCATATTGCCACAGAGAAATGGGTCACAAACACTTGAGAAGCAGGACATCAAATCTGATTTTGAAATTTATGCTACAATTTATCCCTTAGCTGCTGGTAACAATTGCAAAGCATGTGCCCAAATTGAAGTGTCAAGTCTACAAGGCAGACAGCCTTAGCCAACTGCTGCTACGTTGTAATGCAACGCTAATACCCGTGGAGCCAGAATTCTAATTTTTGCAACAATAAACAGAACCCATATCATATCATATTATTAAATCTTCTGATGGAAGTTTAATATCTTGCAGGGCAAACACAATATGGCCACTGGCTGATGGCGTGTGACCTTCTTAGTCACACTAGGTGCCCTAGTTTGCTTTTCCATTGCTGTGATAAACACCAAGACCGGAAAGTGACTTGGGGAGGTTCAGTTCAGCTATGCTTCTAGGTCACAATCCATCATGGAGGAAAATCAGGGCAAGAACCTGCTGCTTCCTGGCTTGTTACACACACACACACACACACACACACACACACACACACACACAAGTATTTGCTTGCATGTCCATCTGTGTACTACTTACATGTCTGTTGCCCACAAGACTAAAAGAGGGTGTCCATTCCACAGAAACTGTAGTTACAGATGGCTGTGAGCTGCTGTGTGGATGCTGAGAATCGAACCTGGGACCTCTGCAAGAATAGCCAGTGCTCTTAGAGGCTGAGCCTCTCTCCAGCCCCTCAGCTTACATTCTTATGAAGCCCCTGCCCACCTGCTCAGGGGTGGCACCACCCACAGTGTGCTGGGCCCTCCCTCATCAATCATTAATCAAGAAAATGCCCTACAGACGTGCTCATATTTGTAATTTCATTTGAAAATCGATTGTAAGTGTGCATCCCCCTGTAAACTTACGAATGTGTAGAATGTCCCAGGAGCTCCTTTTGATCATACTAAGTTCATTTAAAAAGAAAAGTTATTTGCCAGAAATGTGTACACATTTAAGCCCAGCACTCAGGAGGCAGAGTCTGTGAGTTCAAGGCCAGCTTAGTCTACATAGTGAGTTCCCAGCCCACTAAGGCTCCATAGTGAGGCCCTGTCTCAAAACAGCAACTCCCCCAAACCAAAAACACCTTAAGAGTTTCAAAAGATCCAGTCCCCATAACAATAGAAAATGAAACCTTTAATATTTTTCTTAGACTAACTTTTTTCACTTTTTATTTTGAGAGGTTCTCTTGTTGAACAAGCAGGTCACCTGAGTTGTCTCTCCTTAGGTGTTAAGGCTTTAGTTCAGTTCTTTTCTCTGCTAACTAAAATACTTCCTTTCTGTTTTGTCTTTCTTTTGGGGTGAGGGCAGGGTCTCAGTATCCCAGGTTGACCTTGTACTCCCTGTGTAATCGAGGCTGACCTTGAACCCCAGATCCTCCTGTCTCTACATCCCAACTACTGGGATCACGTGTCTATGCCAAACATACCCATTTTAAAGTAATGTTTGGAAAACAAAAGGAAAGAAAAGTCAAATAGACATCAAACAGAAATAATAAAAAAATTTTCCATTGTCCTTCCAAGAAGGATGATGCCTTTGTTTAGACTCTATCAGCTCTGTTAAGTAATTGGTACCAGGTCTTTCATTTGCAAGTTAGCTGTTAACAATTTAAATCAAAGCCTTAATTGCCTATATTATGAAGGCTTCAGGAAACGGTGGGGATATTAATGACACAAGATTTATTTTTTTTAAGAATAATTTCATATTAATCACATAATAACTTGTATGTGTTTTTTTATAACACTCAACTGATAATAAATTACAATGCCTATCTCTTTAATTGCAAATTAAGTACATGCATATGCTGGAGAATTCCTCATTAAAATATTCACAGAAAGTGATTCGATGTGGCAGGGCATCCTCTACTTATTCAGTTCTGACGGATGGTGCGTTGATCAGAACAGCTGCTCAACTCATGAGCCTTTTGCAAGAGGAAAGAGAAGCTGGGAAAGCAGGGGCAGCAGTCAGTGCCCTTGAGGCTTGGCAAGGTGGACCTAGAACTTCTGGGTTAATTGTGCATTAATTCTTAGACATCACAGTCAGTTGACTTGTCTTGCCAATTTGGAGGGGAGAGGTGGGGGGAAGGATGCATATATTTCCTCCATATAAACCTGTTCCCATTGGAGGCTACAACACAGTTTAAAGAAGTTCATTTTTGATTCCTCCATTGCTCTCCGACCTTCTGATCTATCCCAGCAAAGGCAACTCTACAGTGACCACAGTTCTGATGCTCAATGATACATACATGTATTTATTTACTTATTCATGGTGATATTTTGTTTGTGCTTTAACAAATAAAGCTTGCCTGGAGATCAGAGTGTGGAGCAAGCCACTAGTTAACCATAAAGGCCAGTCAGTGGTGACACACACCTTTAATCTCAGCATTTGGGATCTCATGCCTTTGATCCCAGCACTTGGGAAGCACATGCCTTTAATCCCAGCACTAGGGAGGTGGAGACAGGAAGTGATATGGCTGGGTAGAGACAGGAGCTCAGCCCCTTTCAGGCTGAGGAGTTGGTGAAGTACAAAGTGGCTGTGGCTTGCTCCTCCATCTCTCTGACCTTTCAGCATTTACCCTGATATCTGGCTGAATTTTTTTTATTATTAAGACCAATTAGAATTTGTGCTCCGGGTTTTTATTATTAAGACCAATTAGAATTTGTGCTACATTTATTTATCTTAGGAATGACATGTCTTAGCCTTTGAGATAATTCTGACTACTTGAGTTCAATCCCTAGGCCCCATATGGTGGGAGGAGGGAACAGACTCTTTTGGGTTGTCCTCTGACCACCACGCTCCCCCTGTGGCACACATGTGCCCCCACACATACTACAAACAAACAAATAAATAAATATAATAAAACTTAAAAAAAAAGAAATGACATATGACCTAGATACAGGTCAATTAGACAAACTGAAAATCATTCTACTGTTAATTTTCTGTACAGTTATGAGCATAGAAAATCCTTCTGTATTCCTTGTAACTGATGTGATTTCTTGACTAGTCTACATCTGGGACCTACTTGGTTCACATCTTCCACACGGAATAAAGTGTTTAAATACCCCCATTGAAATATAACGGAGTTTGTACCTCTTTGTGGAAGAAAGTAATACCAAGTAATATCAGTCAGTATTAGCGCCCTTCTCCTTCTCCTGCATATTATGATAGGGGGGTCAAACCGCTAGGCAGTGGGTCTCCAGCACGAGAAGAATGTGAGGCCGGACCAACCTGTCCCATATCCAAAGCTTGCAACTCTCAGAAGCTGAACTAAATTCAGACCTATGTGAGTTGCAAAACACACCAAGAATTTGATCTGTGCTTGGCTGTGTCACCGTATTGCCTTGCTCTCCTTTCGCTGTGTGCATTTGTACCTTTGATAAAAGCAGCGCCTTTGTCCGTGAAATCGGGGAACTGGAGCTGGTTTCCACATGCATTTTCAAGCTGCTGAGCCCAGCCCCATGCTTCTCATAGTAGAATCCCGTGCGAATTACCTGAAGGTCTCCTTAAAAAAAAAATACAGGTGCTGATCAAGCAGGTTTGTGTTGGAACTGAGATTTGGCACTTTTAGGAAGTGCACAGCTGCAAGTACTTCTGGGTCAGTGGAGGCCCAGAAAACCTGTCAGATTCTCAGACTGATGAAAATACAAGAGAGAGGGATGTGGTGAGAGAGAGAGAGAGAGAGAGAGAGAGATAGAGAAGGAGGGAAGGGAGGGAGAGGGAGAGGGAGAGGGGGGGCGCAAACATGGAAAAAAGTAAAAGAAAATGAAATTTGAATGAACTGGAGAAAACTGGAGATTTAACCAAATGATTTAAAAACAGTGATTACTGACATATAACCTAACAAATTGTGGCCTTGGCGTTTGTCATGAAAATGTGTACCAGGATCAGGACACATGAAATTTTTACAGTATTGCGACTGGAAGGAACCCAGCCCAGTTGTGGGAACTGCCAGGAACAGCCATCCTCTCCTGTCAGTGGTGGCCAGAGTGTAGGGAACCCAGCAATTCAGTTGAGGAGAGTAAAACATTAAAGAAGCAGCCAAATGTGTTAACATGAGAACAGTGATTCTCCTCTCCTATGGGGTAAACAGGCTTGATGGCCACGACCAGTGCAGAGTCCTCCTCACTGGAATAAATGCCTGGTGACCCATCAACCTGTTGGGCCAATCTCTTCTTTCAGCTAAACTTGCTCTCTGCGTATGGAGGGCAGCTCTAAGTTTATGCAAGAGCTTCAAACAAGATTTATTTATTTTTATTTTATGTGTGTGTGTGTTTTGACTGCATGTATGTTTGTGTACCATGTATGGGAAGTACCCATGGAGGACAGAAGAGGGAGGCATACGCCCTGGAGCTGGAGTGACAGATGATTGTGAGCTGTCATGTGGGTGCTGGGTCTTCTGCAAGAGCATCTAGTGGTCATAAGCACTGATCCATCTCTCCAGCCCTATGAACAAAGACACTTTTTATAGCAGTGTTTTGCATATATTGTCTTATATTCTCCACTGAAACCTCATAGTAAGGTACTAATTTTATACCCATTTGTCAGATGATAGACTTAGAGCAAAAAAAAAGTAACATTGTTGGGCACTCAGGTAACACGTGATGCATCTTAGACACAAAGGCATGCTGTCTGCTCCAGGGTTACTTCACTTAGAGAATTGCATCAAGGAAAGTGCATGCAATGGCAGTCTTTGGGGGAACCTTCATATTTCCATGAGGTCAAGCCCAGGTGGGGGAGAATCCACATTGAGAAGAGGAACTTGAGGTAGATAGGGAAGCTGGCAATCTTACCACACAAGGGTTCTCTTCATATTGTCTCATGACAACTTAATCCGAGCAATGAAGCATTGCTGTGACTTTGTCTGTCACCAACACAACACTCCCCAAGTCATCAGTCCTGCTTGCTAAGAGACCATCTGCTTTCAAATAAATCCACACCGGAAAAGCATTATTATGCCTGTGATTTCCTAAACTCATAGAAACCTCAAATGCCATGGTCTTCTCCATGGTAATCCACCCATGGAATAAAATCCTTGAATGGCCGAGGAGCTGAGCTTGAGACATGTTTAACGTTCCGCCATGCCTGTTTAGCCCATTCTACTTGCTCATTTTTTCTGGTGTTCTTGTCTCCATTTTCATTTCCTTCTATTTATGGCCTGGGAAGATTCTCTAGGTATTAATTTAAAAAGGAGGATGCCTAATTTGTCTCAGGAAAGCAGGTGCACTTTAAAGCCCATTGAGTTGGGGTTTTCGACGGATGTATTTCTGCTGGTCCTTCCAGATACATCCTGTCACCCCTACATCTGGTCCTGTACCTGTGAGACAAATATACTCAGCTAGGACCCTCTTGTCCATCATGTGTAGGTCACAGGTTACCTCTCAGGGGATCTGAAAACAGGAGAGCAGTGAGGCTCAGGTCTCTGTTCTCCTGGCTCTCCCCACATGGCCTACCCTCCTGGTATTGTCCATGATTCTCTAGTACAGTGGTTCTCAACCTTCCTAATGCTGTGACCCTTTAATATAGTTCTTCATGTTGTGGTGACCCCCCCATCATAAAATTTTTTTATTGCTACTTCATATCTGTCATTTTGCTAATGTTATGAATTGTAACATAAATATGCATATTTTCTGATAGTCTTGGGCTACCCCTATGAAAGAGTCCTTAGACTCCCAAAGGAGTCTTGACCGACAGGTTGAGAACAACTGCTGTAATACAAGACAACTTGTACTACAATTCTTCTAGAAGAATTCCATTTCCCATTTCCCTCCAGGATCAGGGATAGGAAGGGCTTCCTGTTCTTGCTGTTCCTTGGTGTGTTCACACTCTCTTCTTTGTTCTTGTGTGTACATGTATGCATGTGCACGTGCATGTGTGTGGGCACAAGTGCAAGTGTGTGTGTGTGTGTGTGTGTGTGTGTGTGTGTGTGTGTGTGTAGGCCACAAGGCAATCTCAGGTGTTGTTCCCAGGAGACTGTTGTGGAGTAGAATATTTGCTTAACTATGTAAAGATGTGTTGCATTTGTTTGTGTTGCAGAATAATTGTTTAACTATGTAAAGATGTGTTGCATTTGTTTATGCTACATTTGTTTAACTATGTAAAGATGTGTTACTATTTTACCTTGCCTGCCTAAAGCACTTGGTTGATCTAATAAAAAGCTGAACAGTGCATAGCTAGGCAGAGTAAAAATAGATGGGACTGGAGGGCGGAGATAAAAGAAGATCCAGACAGACATGGAGGAAATGAGAAAGCAGGACGGACAATATGTCCATGAGGTAAACAAGCCTCAGGGCAGCACATAGATTAATAGAATGGGTTAATTTAAGTTAAAAAAAAAAACTAGCTAGAAACAAGCCTAAGATAAGGCTGAGCATTTATAATTAGTAATAAGTCTCTATGTCATGATTTGGGGCTGGTGGTCCAAGAAAGCCTGATATAGACTTCCACCTTTGTTTTTTGAGGCAGGATCTCTCAATGGCCAGAGTTTCATTGAGTAGGCTAGGCTAGCTAGCCAGGGAGCCTCAGGGTTTCTCCTGTCTCTGGTTCCCAGGACTGGGGTTACAAACACACACACTTTGGTGCTTGGCTTTTTCACATGAATGCTGAGGACTGAACTCAGGTTGTTCATGTTTACATGGAAAGCACTTTACTGACTCAGTATCCATATCCCCAGCCTTCCTCTTGATTCTTGTTATGCTGGCAACACCATTATCAACCAACTTGCCCTGAACATTTCTGCATTCACCCCTTTGAATTGGCTGTTTCCTGAAGCTACCCTGACTGATGCAAGTTCTGTTTGCAGTAAAAAAAAAAATTCAAGTCCTTCAATTAAAAAAAAATATGTGTTTTACTTTAACATGATCTGGGTGCACATGTGTAAAGGACTTTGGATCTGCCACACTCCCACATGCTCCTGATGCATCTCTGCTGCAGAAGACAGTCATGCCTGCAGGGCATGCTCATGACAGTCAGGAGCCAGCACCATCCCAACACTATCACCTACCTCACAGAGCAGGGAAAAGCATGGATGCTGTGTAGCCGTCTTCTGTCCTGGGTCTAGATATCATGATAAAACAGATGAATAAGCCTTCTTCTGCTTAGCAGGGCAGTAGTGCACATGTAATCACAGCACAAACCCAAGTTCAAGTCCAGCCTAGATGCACTCGCTAGTTTTCCTTTGCCAATTTTGATGTAAGCTGTGGATATTTGGGAAGAGGAACCTCAGCTGACAAAAAAAAAAATCTCCATCAGATTGGCCCATGGATAAGTCTGTATGGCATTTTCTTAATTTGTGATTTATGTGTGAGGGCCCAGCCTACTGTGAGGGGTGCCACCACTGGGCTGGTTATCCTAGATGATATAATGAAGGCAGGCTGAGCAAGCCAAGAGGAGTAAGCCAGGAAGCAACATTTGTCTATGGTCTCTGCTTTGGTTCCTGTCTTCAGGTTCCTGCCGTGACTTCCTTCAAAGAGGAACTGTGAGCTGTAATCTGAAATTAGCCTGTCCTTCCCAAGTTGATTTTGGTTGGACTATTTTATCACAGCAACAGAAAATGAAGTAGAACACTGGACAGCAAAACTTCAGCTTACCTTGGGCTAACTTGTGAAATCCTGCCTTGAAAACAAAATTTAAAAAAAAGTTCTCCTTTTTGGTACTCTTCTCTCCTGGACCCCTCTCCCACTTTTACAAGTTTCCCCGGTTTTAATTTCTCACTTTTCTGGAACTCATCTTAATAAAGCTTGCTTCCACCTTGCATAAAAAGAAACACTCCTTTCTCTCCCTGTATCGACTCACTCATCTTTGGGAATAGATCTGGTGTCTATGCTGTGGGGAAACACTAAACACATCATTAGTAGGTGATAATTAGAGCTGGGCATGTTGAATGTGCGCTGCCTTGAGGCCTGTGGAGGAATGCATCCTGGGAAATCTGCTGCGCTCTGCTGACATCAGCAACATTTGCCAACTGCCAGAGCCTCTACAGGCATCATCTGGGTCTGTGGGTCACAAGGAAGCTGTAAAATCATCACCCCTTTCTGTGGCGTGTGTTCCACGTGAGTAGTTAAAAATGCCGTGGGTCTGTCCCTTAATAAGGAGCCAGACATTTCCAAAATAATTGTCGGGTCAACAAACACTGCTGCTGGGTCCCTGTCCTCCGTACGGAGGACAGTTGGTTACTCTCCAATAATTCACCTGCTTCAGCTTTTCTTGGAGTGTGGAGTGTGCACATGTGCCACCAATCAGCCATTTGGTGAATCATGGTGGCGGTAGGACTGGGCACTACTTTCTGCATGGTTTCCTGAACTGTACTTTCATCTTCCCAGTGTGAAGCACAGAAGTTGATAGAGATGGAGACAGGTTAGGGGTGGGGGTGAGGGTGAGGGTAACGGTAGGCGTAGCAACAGTGGCAGGGGTGCCGAGACTCTCTCCATCCTTCGGGAATAAATTTCACAATTACTCTTTTTGCTTCAACTCACAGGAACTTAAAGGTGTGTCCTAGATGCAGATTAGGAGTGACCACATACTGCTCATTAATATTTGCATGCGATGGACTAAAATAGCCAATTGTTCACTGCTTATGAAGTTCTAAGCTTACAGGTCAACCTCAGCTACACTACCAATAGCTGTCTGAAGTGTGGGTCCCTTGTCAAGGGGCAGTGGAGAAATTTGCACGTTAGTATGTTTAAGGACTAAGCACCCCTTTTAAAAATCATTCTATCTTTAATTTGTGTGTGTGTGTGTATGTGCACACCCATGCATGGGGGTGTCCCTAGAAGCTATAAAAGGGCATCAGACCCCCTGGAACTTGTATTATAAAAGGTTGTGAGCCGCCATGTAGGTGCTTGGACTTGAACCCAGGTCATCTGTAAAAACAGCCAGTGTAATTAACCACTGAGTTGTGGTGGTATTGTGTTCCCCAAAATATTGTGTACCCTAATAAGCTTATCTGGGGTCAGAGAACAGAAAAGCCACTAGAGACTTAGGATAGGCAGTGGTAGCACATGCCTTTAATCCTAGCATTCCAGAGGCAGAAATCCATGTGTTCAAGGATACAACCAAGCATGGTGACTCACGCCTTTAATCCCAGGGAGTGAAGGTAGAAAGCAGAAAGGTATATAAGGCATGAAGACCAGAAACTAGAAACATTTGTCTGGTTAAGCATTTTGGCTGGTTAAACTTTTAGGTTTTGAGCAGCACAGTTCAGCTGAGAGCCATTCGGATATGAGGACACAGAGGCTTCCAGTCTGAGGAAACAAGATCAGCTGAGAAGTTGGCCAGGTGAGGTTAGCTGTGGCTTGTTCTGTCTCTCTGATCTTCCAGTATTCACCCCAATAACTGGCCTCAGGTTTGATTTTATTAATAAGACCCTTTAAGATTCCTGCTACACTGAGCCATCTCTCCAGCCCTGTTAACCAGTGATGTTTCTCATTGTGTGTGTGCCCACACCCCTGTGTGCATGTGGAGGCCAGAGGCCAACCTCGGGTGGGGGGTCATTCCTCAGGTGCTGTCCACTTGGTTTTGTGAGACAGGCTCTCTCACTGGCCTGGAACTGACCAAGTAGGTTAGGCTTGCTTGGCCAGTGAGCCCCAGGGGTCCTCCCCTCACTGCCTTTCAAAGCTAAGATTGCAAGAACATGCTACCCTGTCTAGCTTCCTTCATATGGCTTCCAAGGATCAAATTCAGGTCTTTGTGCACAGCCAACATCTACACACCAAGCTATTTCCCCAGTCTCTGTCTCTCAGTTTGAAAAACGGACTTCATGCCATCAGGGGGTAAACAAAGCGACTTTTCTCTTGTTTGGAGACTTACCTTACCTCCTCTGCATACTCCAGTGTGGACATGCTTCCTGTTTTCCATCCTTGTCACTAAAAGTATTGCCTCTTTCAGAAGCCACTTACAGTGGAGTTAGCCTGCTGAGATGGCCACCACTCCACACCAAGAGTCAAGGGACAGAGCTTTCTATGTCCCCCAGGGTTTCACAGCCCTGTGCCCTGCTATGTGGCCCTTTGGCTTTCTGATGGATGGACAACTCAAACCTAGTCACACTCTCTCATGATTTGGGGGTGGAAAGTCAGGCTGACAAATGCATTTTCCCGGGGCTGATGGTTTTTAAAATTCTTTCAAGTTGTGTCCCCTCGTCGGTAATGTGAATTATTTTCTGCACTCTGAACAAAGACAACCTCTGCCCCCTCATTTATTATCTTCTGGAAGGGAGATGAGTCTTCTCTTCTTCTCACTCAATTAATTTAGCTTGGAACATTTATATTTTAATTCAAGTGGCAGTCTTCATAAATATTCATCAATCGCAAGTAAGTCTACAGGGTCGGGAGGCCACATGCCAGGAAGGGGGAACATGGGTGTTTTCTCTTCCTCGAGGCGGGTTCATTCGCATGAATACATATACAGCTCTCTATCCTATTTTAAATTCAAGAAGAATTTTCTGAAGGCCAGTAGGTGTGAGGCTTCTACATGGGATGTGAGGATGTAGGAGTGATGAGAGCATCTCCTTATGAGTATATATTTATATATGTCTGCTCGTCTATATGATGGGCATCTCCACTTATATCTGCAGTGATATCTTTATGGCAATCAGTTGTAATTTATTTATATGTATATACATATACATACACACACACACACACACACACACACACACACACATATATATATATATATATATATATATATATATATATATATATGCTGGGGAGACAGTACAATTGGTATAGTGTGTGCCACACGCACAAGCACAATAACCAAAATTCACTGTCACAAGAGTGTGGGTCATCTGATAGCTACTCTGATCTTGCTGGGGTTAGTTCAAGCTTTTGTTGTCATTTTTCATTTTCTAGTTTAAGATGTTTAAGAGAGCAAACAGAAACATGAAGACAAACTCAGAAGTACCACCTTAACATACCCACTACATTGTTTGGGATTCCTTGACATGCCCTGTCACCATCCAGCTGTGGACCATGTCAGGTGTATGTCCTGGTAGGATATTGCTATTCTTCACCTGATCACTCTCCCTGACCAAACTAGCCAAGGATCATCCTTAAGCTAGGGTTACAATCCTAAAAAAAGAAAATGGGAGCATGGATGATCTTTGGAAGTGAGATTCAGAAATGCAAGTTCTGTTGGCCTTGGTGATCTGGTTGCAGAAACCTTTACACATAAAAAAATCTATACAGCTAACCTATCAATGAATCCATCAATCATTTATTATGCTGCGTTTTTTAAAGTTAATTTTATAGCTGCCTCCTTGGCCAGCTTTAACAGTGTAGAGGACAAGGCACAGCCTCAGTATGCAGCTTAGCCCACCATCCCATCACCTGGGGCAAGTCACGGAAATATACACGATCTAAGGGACAAAAGGATGGGAATTATCCTTGGACATAGTGCTGGTGGGAAGGAAGTTATCACACAGGGGGCATCTTCAAGATGACGGATGTAAGGTGGATGTTGGCCAGGGCAGTGAAAGGTGTTTGGTTGTAGCACTGACCTTGTCCATTGCATCTTCTGTTCCGCCTGAACCACCCCCTCTGCTCCCTCTGCTCAGCCCTCATCATATGATTGTACCTCTTACATACCACCTTCTGTTTCAGCCTTGACAAAACTTTCTAATAAAATCTTCCCCAATGCACCCTGCTCTCTTGATGACTTGTCCCCTCTCTGGCTATGTTTCCCGCTCGGCACAAACTTGAATAAAAGCTGGCTTCTCACCTGGGCTTGTTAACCACCATGTTCCACAATGCCCACCATACTACAAATTTTCAGCAGAATGTTGCTGTATTCTAAACAGAAGCTAGCCATGTCTTCAAAATAAACTCAAGCCCAATTTGAGGACAAGACTTGATTAAATCTCCCACTGGGACTTAAACAAATTGTCCACATTTCCCCAGAATGACATTTTTAACATATGTGAGTTTTTTTTTAAGCATTCTCTCTGTGTCTGATACAAAAATTGCCTTTAGGGACCTACAAATGCAAAACATGTAGTCAATGAGAAAATGAAGTCATGATAAGTTAGAGTTTTTCATCTGAATAATTGGATTTCTAAACACACGCATATTTTAAATGTCTCCTTGTATTAAATCATTCATGGAAAATATGTTGCTGTTAAATAAAATAGTATCTGACAACAATCAGGAGACACCATAATGATTTTCTCTTTCACACTTGGTTAGGTAGAGAGTTTGTGGTAATACCAGTGAAGATAAGTGATTACAGTTCTTAGGAAGAACATTGTGTGAGCTTTGGCACAAGCTGCTCCTTGGAGTTACTGTGGTACAGAATCCAGGGCTAGAGCAAAGCATAAAGATCAGTCACAGACAGACAGAGACAAACTGTTTGCAGAGAACATCACCTGTCTCCTAATTTGGTCAAGTCCTAAGAAGAGGCTAGAGAGATGGCCCAGCAGGGAAGAGCATTTGCTACTGAGCCCAATGGTCTGAGTTTAATCCCCAGGTCCCAGGTAGTGGAAGGACAGAACGGACTCACCCAAATCCTGAGTTGTCCTCTGACCTCCACACTCACACAGACACACAGAATAAATGAATATTGAAAAAGAGTCCTACTAAGGAATCATAAAGCTTATCAGCAGGCACGTTCTATTAACAGGTTGCACCCTGATTCATTTCTCCTGTTGGTCTGTCTGTCTGTGTACTCACCATCCCTCCCATGCCCTGGAGTTATCATTCATAATTTAGTGCAGTACTGTCAGGCTATACATCTCCATGGATGCTTGTTAAACCTGATTCATAATCACCATGGAGGAACATGGAGTAAAATAAGCAGATATTCTCAGCTGAGAGTCCAGGAAACCAGATGTGACACCACAGTAGTTACTTTTCTCATTGTCTTCACTAAATATCTGCCCAGAACATGTAAGATTTATTTTGGCTCAATATCTGAGGGGCGATGGTCCATCAAGGCACAGAAAGCATCACAGCAGGGGGCTCCCTGGCATTTAAGTGTAGGGAAGTGGCCAGGAAGCAGGAAGAAGACAGAGGCTTCAAGCCTTGCCACCAATGACTCACCCTCTCCATTTGGTTCCACCTCCTGAAGGTTCTACAGCCTCTTACAAAATACTGCCAGCTGGGGACCAAGTGCTCAGGCACATGAGTCTGCAGGGGACATCCGACATCAAAACATTCAGAGACATATGCCAGTTTCTTAGTTCTGATGACATATCTTGGTGCGTTCATGTGCCCAGTGTTCTTCAAACCCATCTGCCATTCAGATGATTAATTAATTGACTAATTGTTGGCCTGGTAGACCACTGTCTGAAATAGCTTAGGCTGTTGTAAAAAGAAATCACAGAAACTACAGAAGTTGATTTTGTGTGTGGATCTAGAGGTTTGAAGTATAAGCCAGAGATGCAGGCATGGTGGGGTTGTCCTGTTATGCATCCCCTGCTGATGACTTAATCCCTCACTCCTACTGTGGTGAGAATATAAACTGCTGCAACCATAAGTCTGGAGGTTTCTTTACATGTTTTATTATTTTTATTTTATTTTTTTTGGGGGGGACACACGTGTGAAGGTCAGAGGACAACTTGTAGGACTTGGTTCTCCCATGCCACCATGTGGAAGGAGCTTCATTCAAGTTCCCTCATGACTGGTGGAAATCTGTAGCTATATAGCCCCAAGCTAATTTCTTGAGCTCCAGACTTTGCTGTATTGATACAGAGTGCCCTGGCCTTCATCTCCACACTGTGCTGCTTCCTTTGTATTTTTCAGATGGTTAATCACTCAAGAATCTTCTATCTTATTGTTCAACTTTGTGGTGTGTTAAAAGTTACCCCAAAGGAGATGCAGACATCGGTTTAAGAGAGCATGGAGTGAGATAAAGTGAACTAGACTGAAGACTCTCTGAAACACTTCAATTCTGAGAGCATTTCTCTTTAACAATCAAAAGGGCTATATACATAATTCATCTGTGACATTGAAGTCATCTTTAAAATATTGTTTTATTCTTTAGCAATAACTATGTCTGATGCTTGTCAGTGCCTGGAGGGTTTCTGGTGGATTCCTTAAGCAATATGTACGTTGCATGGTGACAAATTTTGCTAATGAAAATCATATTGGGAAAGTGGCATGATCTCTGATTATGTGCTTTAATGAAGCTAAACTATATTGATCTCATGTTAACAAAACATTTGTTTGGCTCCTGGTGGATACCAGTTGCTGAACTTATCTAGGTCTCTTCAGACAACAAAAGGTTCATTTGAGAAGCCCTGATTCAACCCAAACAGAGATAATACATAATTCTTATCAACAGCTCATTTGGTTTATGGTTAATTGTAAATGAGATCTTTTTGTAAGTGTAAGAAGTGATGAACTGTAAAAAAGTCTCCCTCTGTCTTGTATACATGAAGGGAGAATCATAAATTTCCCAAGTAGAAATTAAATTAATTTTGAGTTATATTCCTACAGAAATATAATAGATGTGACTAATCTAATTTTATAATTAAAAACATTCAGCATACCCCATTTAAATACCAAATGATGAATATTTTAATGTTTTATTTTTGTTCTCTATTGTGATAAGTTAAGGAAGAAGAGAAGAATAGCAATTAAAAACTGATAAAAAGAACAAGAGGGTGAAAGTCTTTTTATGAACATTTCTAGGGTCAAAGAAGATCAAGGCATGGGTTAGGTTTTCCTTGAGAACCAGGGGGAATTTTTCATTAGAAAACAGTAAGGGGGAGCTGACAGACCTAGGGTTTCTTCTTCTTCTTCTTCTTCTTCTTCTTCTTCTTCTTCTTATTATTATTATTATTATTATTATTATTATTATCATTAATATTATTATTATTTTATTTCATGTATCAAATGGAACCAGAACAGAGGCCTGAAGATTCAGGAAGGTAACACAAGAAGAGAACACAAGGAGAGGGGAAGTGTTCTCAGCTGTCCTGATTCTTAACATGGGGACTTGTAGTCAAAACCATTTCTGCCCTGCTACTTGGGGGTTAATATTTCCTACTCATTCTTGATGCTTGAAAAGAAAATAGCCACAACTGTGCCAGGTAACACTCAAGGCAGAGGTCATGTCCCAGTCTCTATGCAGCCGCCTCTCCAGCAAGGGGTGGGAGCTTGGCAAGAAAGAAAATGAACAAATGAAGTTGCTGAAAACTGCAACTGAGTGAGAAGAACCTGGGATATGCAAGGGAGACACTGGTCATGCTGATATTCAATGGCAGCATTTCCAAGTCTGTCCTGTTGGCTGTTTGATTCTGGACCAACTTGTCTCTGCTTGACATTTTTTATTAATGTTTTTCAATTTGTTCCTGAATCTGTCCAATAAATATGGCTGTTAAGAGACAGAAAAAAAAACCTAACAGACATAAGGCTGCATACAAGTGGACCTTTTCTCTTTGGGGTGATCACAGGGGGATATGGTTCACTGTAGTGAGAAACTGAGATGAATCCTGGTTGTGCTGCTACCATGGTTACCTTCTATAAGTCACAGCATCATCTGTCAGAGATGTCTAATGCTTATGGCATCCCCAGGAGGTCCTCAGCCTTTTGTGACCCAGCTCCAGCTTTGATGGTGGTTTGATACTTAAAGTCTGATGAGTTGTTAGGGGTGATATCATGCGTGTGCTTGGGCAGAACACATTGGACGCTTTATTGTTCTGGTTCAGCCTCTACATTCATGGGTCTGAGGAGCCTGACTATGGGTTTTCTGCATCTAGAATCCACATCTGGCTTTGATCTGTGAGCTCAGTTGAGAGATTTGTCATCCCTCCTTCGTGGGTGCAACTCTTACAGCAGGACTAGAGTTGGATGTAGATACAGACTATGATCAGCCTGACTCCATTAAAATGATCTTATTGTTTTGAGCTAACAAGAGGTATTTCCCCCGAGTAACAGAATCCTCTGCCTTTTGTTCTCAGGGTGGATGGTGTTTAGATCATATGGAACCAATCTTCCATGACAAGAAGCTAGATGGAAACAAGACCTCAGGCCTTTCCTGCAGCATCAGCTGGGATCCCTCCTGTGTGCCCCAAAGAGGCTTGGTCTATTTTCACTTCCATCTTCCATCTTTTTCATGAGTATTACATAGCAAGTCCATAGAAAAGCTTTTGTTAATGCATGCAAATTCTCCTTATTTGGAGGCATTGAGAGATTCTGTAACCTTACAGCTGCCTACTTCAAACTCATAGCAATTTTTTCATGTGTGGGCATTCTGGACGTCTGTGTACCATATGTGTGCCTGGTGTATGCAGAGGCCAGAAAAGGGTGTTGGATCTCCTGGGACTAGATTTAGAGATGGTTGTGAGCTGAACCTAGTTCCTCTGGAAAAGCAGCCAGTGCTCTTTACTGCTCAGCCATCTCTCCAGTCCCTTTGATTTTTAAAGACGTGTATTTATTTGTCTCACGGCACACATGTGGAAGTCAGGTGACAACTTGTGGAGGTTGATTCTCTCCTTCCATCATCAGGAGGATTCTGGGCATCAAAGTTAGGTTATCAGGCTTATGTTGCAAGCACCTTTACCTGCCAGGCAGTGGCACAGCTTTTCATAGCGACACCAAGGCCTTTGGGTGCACCTTTCTTCAGGAAGGCTAAAACCAGTCAATCTGAAGGATTTTTAAGACCCTCCAAAGCTCAGAAATGTGAAGTCATTTAGAATGAACTTTCTGTATTCTGTTGACTCTCAAGTCAGGCACAGATGTCTGCTTGGTGGGTGGACTGTGCGTGGCAGGCAGACTTGAATCAAAGCTTAAGCAATGAGTTTGGATTGTAACATTTCCTTTTCCAAAAGAAATTACCGTATTACACCCATAAAATCCTTTCTCCCGGAGATGGGATAAGCAGGTGGCTGCAATTTGTATCAATTAAATGATGACCTCATTTCTGTAATTTACATTTTTTTCTTCCTTAATGGTAGCTTTTTAGCAAAACTGCTGATGGATAGGATTTTTATGACTTCTTTTTTTTTCTGTGTCTATCATCTTTTTTGCACTAATTTGGAAAGTTTTGGTAAGAAATGCAAGCATCATCTACTGGACTTTAAGAACAAAGCATGAATACATTTCATTTTACTTGAGGAGGAAAAAGTTACAGCCAAGTGGAGTCCTGTGGAGATTATGAAGATGGACGCTCTGACTCTGAAATTTGATCTTGTACAATTTCTGTCTGTCAGATCCTGGGCTATCTTTACAGCTAAAGTCTTTCCTGAAGTAAATGAAATTTGGAAATTTTCAGCTGATGGAAGAGTAATTGGGTGGGAGCTAAGGCAAGAGGCTGATGCAAAACTGAGAGGTTTATTTACAAATAAGGATGAGAATGTGCGTGCATGTGTGTATGTGTGTGTACATGTGAATATGCACGTTATGTTCATGTGTGTGCACCTGTGTGTCCATGTGTGTGTGTGTGCGCGTGTGTGTCTATACACATGGAAGCCAGAGGACAACCCCAAGTATTTCTCAGGTGCGGCCCATTGCACAACACTATGACTGTTGTTTGTTTTAGCATGGGCTCTGGGGATTGAAGTAAGTCCTCATCCTTGCAGGGAAATACAAAAACTACCACCTAAGCTATCTTCAAATCCAGAGAACTTACTTGAAAAAGTATATGGTGTATTCATTCTATGTAAGGTATACTAGTGTTTTGCCTTTATGTATATTTGTGCACCACTTATACGCACAGTGTCCATGGAGGCCAGAAGAGGCCATTGGCTCCCCTGGAACTGGAATTACAGATGGCTGTGAGACAACATGTGGGTTCTGGGAATCAAACTCAGGCCCTCTGGAAGAGCTGCCGGTGCTCGTAACCAATTAGCCATCTTTCCAGCCCCTCCCCCCAATAATTTACTTTCAAGAGACTAATTCCAGAACAACTTGAGGTTCATAGCAAAACTGAGGAGAGAGTCCAGATATTTCCCAGAAAACCTACTACCTTCCAGACATCACAAGTGTCTAAAGGAGGAAAGACGTAGCAAACCTTCCCTCCTTATCAATACATCCCACCGGAGGATGCTCAGTGAGGATCAATGACTATGCACTGCCTTATCACTGCCCCCACCACCTGAGGTGTACAGTGGAGTTTATCCTTGGAGTTAGCACTTCATAAGTTTGTGCAGATGTATGATGACATATGTCCACCCACATGGTGTCAAGCAGAGGAGATTTATTGCCCTGAGCACCCCCACCCCCACCCCCTTGCACTTGCTCATTCTTCACTCAGCCCCAAACTCCTGACAACCACCCACCATCTTAATGTCTTTTCTCATTTTTCCTTCTCTGGAATATCATTCATTAAAACACATGCCAAGTAACCTTTTCAGGTGGCTCCTTCCCTGTAGTAGTAAAGTTGCAAAGGCTCTTCCAAATGCCATCCAGACCTTGATAATTCTTTTTTTTTTTCCAGCGCTAATAGTCAAACATAGGGATATGCCCTACATATTTATACAATCATTCACTGAAGCCTTCTGATTGCTGCTAATAATGGTCAACTTTAAGTAATGTTGACCAGGGTGTTCAGATGCAGGTTTTTGTACTTGTAAGGTTTTCAGGTACCTTTGAGAAAATACTAGACGGCAAGGCTGCTTGATCATATAGCTAGACTATGTATGATCAAGCTATTTTTAAATTGGTTGTATCACTTTATATCCCAAGAACAACATCTCTCCAGCCCCTCCCCCTGATAATTTACTTTCAAGGGACTAATTTCAGAACAACTTGAGGAGCCCTGGTGCCACAGTTCCTTACTTACGTTTGATGTTGCGGTGTTCTGGATTTGAACCAGTCTAAGGGATTCATTGTTTTAATTTGCATTTCCATGTAGGCTTAGGATGTGGAAAGGTCACCCTTCTGTTTATTTTATCTGTTCTGGTCTTCAGTCTGATTTCAAATTATATATATATATATATATATATATATATATATATATATATATATAATTTACACACACACACACACACACACACACACACATATATATATATATAATTTACACACACACACACACACACACACACATATATATATATATATATATATACACTCTACACTCTCCATCATTTGTTCTTAGCTTTTTTTCATCTTTGACAAGAAATGGTTTTAAATTTTTGTTAGATTCACATAAAGAGGCAATGAAAAGTTTTATCAGCAATCCCGTAGCTGTCATTCATGCTTCTCCTTAAGGAGTGTAGCACTTCATTTCACACTGAACAATTTCATGTGGATGTTTTTATTAGTCATTTTTATCGATTAATTTTTCTATTTGACAGTTTCACATACACACAATGTATTCTGATTGCTGTGCCTTCCATTTTCCCCTTTATCTCCTTCCCATTCCTGTCAAACACCCAAATCACTTTGGCTTTTAATATGCATACATATACACATGTCTGTGTTTTTACACTATAAATCTGTAACATTATACACTTATTTATTTATAACAATGAGTAGATGTGTGGGACACATATACACATGTGTTCAGTAAATACATTTAAGTAAGTGCATTTAGTGTATTTCTTTGGAAATTCTCAGAAGCACCCTCACCCATAGCACTGTTATTTCCCAGGGTCGATCTGTAAGCTGTCAATATTGCTGAGTGACAGAATATGTTGGACAAAAGCCTCTGTCTTCTGTCCCTGGCCATCACTAATGATTTAATGAAGTTGTCTGGAGACGAGAGGGCTGGGAAGGAGGCAGACAAGGGGGGATGTTCATATAGAAGGAAGGAAATCCTTACTAACGATGGCATTAGATCACAGTCACGGTGACCATGTGCAGTGACTCTGCCTCAGCAGGAGGGCCTCTCAGATGCCTGGCATGGTCTGTGCTTCAGCAGAAACCTGGGACTTGGCTGCTGTGGGCAGCTCGTTACTCACTTCATTAAGCCCTTGTGAGTGGCTCGGTATTTGTCATGTTTATGTCGGCAGAAGGCAGCAGCCATGCAGATTTCTCAGGGGCTCCTTTTCTCAATCTGTCCTTGTCTGTCTGCGCAAGGAATGCAGCCTAGAATCTGCACGAACCCTTCTTCTTCTAACATCTCAGCGTCTCAGCAAGTTTTATTAATGATACAGCATTTCTTACATGGCTGTGGGAGCTTCATTTATTAGAGATTATTAACCAGGGAGGCAGGTTAATCAATCACAAATATTTACCTTTTCACAGGCTGCTCCACATGTAAAAGATATGGCAGCAAAGAAGCAGAAGGAACTCTTGTGTCGCTGGCCCTTTTATTCTACAGCAGAGTGCTTTCAACATGCCAGGCCAGACCCTGAAGTGTTGCTAAGAGCATAACTTCAACTCTGATTAGAAATATGTCAGTGACAGTAAGGCTTCCCATGACAAATCGGGGGTTTGTTTTGTTTCGTTGTGGCACTAGGAATCAAACACCAAGCCTTGTGCACCCTAGCCAACCGCTCTACCACTGAGCTGCAATGTCAACCCCGTCCTTAACAATTATTTTACCATGAGAGAAATTTCCTGACCTAAAGGGCACGGAAACCGCACTGGCTATGGACAACAATAATTGCACCAATTATTGGTAACCCCCTGAGCATTGGAAAAAAGGCATATATTCAAAACTGTTGATCTACATTTGATTCCATGTTTTCAAAATATGATCATCTCGCAAAACTGAAAGTTACAGAATTCATTACAGAATGATGAGTGAGGTTAGTCTATGTTAATAGGTAACCTGCTCTCTTAGGTTTCTATTGCTATGATGAAAACCATGAACAAAAGCAAACTGGGGAGAAAAGGGTTTATTTGGGTTATGCTTCCATATCACAGTTCATCACCGAGGGAAGCCAGACAGGAACTCAAGGCAGGAACTGAAGTAGAGACCATAGAAGAATGCGGCTTACTGGCTTGTTCATCATGGCTTGCTCAGCCTGCCTTCTTATAGCATCTAGGATCACCAGCCCAGGGATGGCACTACCCACAGTGTCTTATGCCTTCTTATATCCATCATTAATAAAGGAAATGTCCCTAAAGACTTGCTCACAGTCCAATCTGATGAATGCATTTGCTCAATTCAAGATCCTTCTTAGATGAGCCTAGCTTGTGTTAAATCAACAAAAAAACTAACCAGTGCACCATGTATGTATGTATGTATGTATGTATGTATGTATGTATGTATATGTATGTATGTGTATATCTGTCTGTCTGTCTATGTGTGTATCTCCTATCTATCAATCATCCATCTCACATCTCACTCCTCTGATAACAGTCACCTAAGTTGCTCCCAAATCTTGATGATTATGAAGGATGTTACAATCAACCTTCTGCAGGGAGAAGATTCTTCAAAGGTCCTCATTCAATGTTTTTTTTTGGGGGGGGGATAAATGCCCAGATGTATGGTTGCCAGATCATGAAGAAGTTTTAACAGTAGATGTCACCAGATACTAGAGTTGAGATCTTTAATGACATGCATTTTTAAGAAGTGAAATAATACACTCTTATACATCAAATGATCATTTTCAGGCAATATTAGCTACACACTACATTATTTATTCATATTTGTGAATTGTGTTTCCCGGGTAACAAATTAGGAAGCTTGGTTCTAATCCAAATAACACACACACACACACACACACACACACACACACACACACACACACACACCTTACTTTGTTTTTCTTTGAAGCAACACACAGCCTTACAAAATCACTTATCTGAAAGCTGCTGTATGGCTTCTGGTAAGAACAGTGGCTGCTTCTGTTCTTAGTCTGAAAAATATGGCTCAGTGTGGATAGACCAGTGTGGTTCAGGCCATCTAGACAATGTAATCTCCTCGTAGTTAGTGTATGAAGTGCCTCACCTTAAAAAGTGCTTTGTTTCCAGCTTTATTGTCTTCAAAATCACCACTAAGTTTCCACAGTGCCTCCCTCACTCTAAAGGAATAACCAACATTAATTCAGAAGACAGATCAGACTTTACATTAGCAATCAACATTTCCAAAGGTGGATACGCTGTATGAGAGGGCTGTGGCATTTACACAGCATAGCATCTGCTCACCATGGAGCACCTTTGCTTCTCTTACAACATCATGTTTCATGCTGGCATCTGGCTTTAAGAACCAACCAGATAGCAGGGCGGGTGCTTACCGTGTTCCCGAGTTCAATGTGTAAATTCTCTCACTATGGGCTGAGCTATTCTCAGCTTCTTCCTGAATAATTAGGCTCCATAATTTATTTTTTTAATTATCTATTTTTATTTAAGATATGTGTGTATATTTGCTTTTCTGTATGTATATTACATGTACACAGTGCCTGAGCAGGCTAGAAGAAGACACTGGATCCACAAGAGCTGGAATTACAGGCATCTGTGAGCTGCTCTGTGCTGGGAATTGAACCCTGGTTCTCCGCTAGAGCAGTACTTAACTCTTGGCTGAGCCATCTCTCTAGCCTCTGATTCCCTAAATACAGAATAAAGCATGGCAGTACTCATACTAACTAATAGCACGAAGAAACGGGAAGTGGTAAAATAATTTCCAAAGGATTACAACATGATGACCAGTTCCTGAATGTCCTGAGGTATTTTGAAAAACAGTTTGGAGGCATGCATCTTAGCACCATTCCTTCACCAGCTCCACCAGGGATCAAACACTAGAGCAGTGCTTATGAGGTCATAGATGAGAGCAGTGCTGATGAGATCATACATTAGAGCAGTGCTGATGACATCATAGATGAGGGCAGTGCTGATGAGGTCATAAATGAGAGCAGTGCTGATGAGATCATACATTAGAGCAGTGCTGATGACATCATACATTAGAGCAGTGCTGATGACATCATAGATCAGAGCAGTGCTGATGACATCATAGATTAGAGCACTGCTGATGAGGTCATAGATTCCCCATAACTACAAAACAAACTATGATTTATGATTTGTTTTTTTGTGAAATACATCCATCCTGAGTAAACATTGATAGAGGATACCATAATACATTTAAGTTTTAATCTATTACCTGCCAGCATTGGAAGTCAAGCATTTAAAACAGAGATAATAAAGTTTATTATATGTTTTATTTCATCATTCTTATATCAAGGGATGAAAGATCCCCACTCTACAAGTACCTCATTTTTACTTGTCTTCCTTAACAAAAAGGTATTTTGGAAACTCCATCAGAGTTAGATGTGATTATGGGACTCGATGGATAATGAGATGGGAAAATGTAATTCGTGCTTTTTTCTAAGACTTGGAGTCAATTTGAAGGAAAAAGTCCCCCTGACCTCCACTACTCCACTTGTAGTCTGTATCTTCATAAATGATTCACCATTTTGAAACATGTTGGTAGTGTCAATGCCCAAGGGTATATGGATAAAAAAATCACAAATAGTCTGAACCCCTAGGAACTGGGCAGAGGAAAATCACCATATTA